TTAGTGTAAGCCCAAACTGGCTTGGGAATCTTGCAGAATGTCTAAACAGTGTTTGAATGATGCAAGCCACATATATAAAAATCTTAGTCTAATGAAGTAAACATTCTTAATTCTTTGGTCTGAAATTTTTAAAAATTGAAAGCGGGGCAAGCTGTAGCAAGTACACGTGCATTGCAGAGTTTATGGAACTTGTTGTAACCTATTTTCTATAGGAAAAAAAATCTAAACAAGTGAAATAAATTATAATAACAATTGGACTATTAGATGGTTTAATTAAATAGATTGATCGAGTCACCTACTAGTATCGTAACTAGAATATCAGTTTATCAATTCTCTAAAAAAAAGAAAAGAATATTAGTTTATCAAAGGCATTTGAGTTAGGTTCTTAATTAACTTGACCGTTCAAGAACCTTTGATGTCTAGCATCGACCTCTCTTGCTAAGACTTGGCTTATAAGAGGAGTACGTACTTGTTACATGATAATCCAAGTGCATTCCTCTTTCTAAGGATTCGGGCTACGGAAATGAGTTTTGTAGCTGTTGTTGTGACTTGAATCGAATTATTTGGCTACGATTGTAAGTCACGGGGATTTTGCTGATTGTTTTCTGTTTTGAGTCTGATTTGTAACCGTTTTCTTTTACCATATTGGATTAGGTTAGACCACGTTGAGAAGTACTATAAATACTTCTCATACTTCTATGTAATCTTTATATCCTCCAAAATATAGTGAAACTAACTCTCTCCTGTATGTGGACTAGCTAACACACATCGTGTTAGTGAACCATGTATATTAGTGTGTCATGTTCGTTCTTGTTTTCATTTTCTTGTAGTGTCGAATCTAATTTCTCGATCCACAGAAAAAACAGTCGTGTCGGTAGCTCATATAGTCCGCAAGAACAAAGGATATTGCAGGTCGTTTATTTTTTGTGATAGTTTGGTTGTGATAGTTAAAATGCATGTATTGTCAACAATACATTGTTTTTATAAAAAAAAAAATTCTGCACAAATAATACATGCATTGTTTGCTTGATGTGACACAAACTATCACTCAAAATGAGTGATAGTTAAATCTCAAGTTTTTTGTGAGATTGTTGAGATTGTTGCATTGAGATTGTTGGGTTTTTTCTTTCTTCCAATTATGTCTCTATCTTTTTATATGTGTTGCTTTTTATATTAAAAACGAATGATAAAAGTGACATTTCATCCAAAAGTAATATGACTTATTTAAATAATACAATACCTATCACAGAAATCAAACGATAAAAACTACAATACACCAATTTTTTTCTATATATATTATTATACATGCATTAATAAAGTAGCATCAATTTAACTACATCAAAACCAAACCACTAAAAGTTAGAATAGCTAATATTCTAACTACTCATTACGTATGGAAGCTGCAATTAACACAAATGACAACATAATTGCTGCCGGGTTTTGCTTTCCTAGGGTTCCCCGACAGTATTGGAATTAAGCCACATTGTACAAATAGGTTGATTGGTTTTAATTTTTTTTTGGATTTTACTACCTCATCAAATTTTGGATTTTACTTCATTCTAATAAATAATTAAGTGACTGTGGGGATGATCAATGTCAACCATTTCTCGGTAACAAACATGTTTAGGCTTTTTTTTCGAAATTTCACGTGTTTTGAGGAATTCCTTTCTTTATAAATGTATTTACAGGGTTTTTTAAGGGAAAGAAGCATCTGAATTTTGTCATTGCACTATATTTAGCATTCCCAGAACTATATAATTAATTTTATTTTTATTTTTTTGTTAGTTATTTGTGGTTATCAAGAAGGAATCTTCCATTATTAATAGTCTTCCTAGACAAACCATTCACTCCCTACCTATATATCTAGGTGTTACTTGTCAGTATGGTTGTTTAAAAATTCATTAGGTTTAGACTTAGAGATGGGAAATAATGTTAACATTCATGCGTATGAAATTGGGGAAATTAACTTAAGAGAACGGTGTAATATGCATTGTCATAATGGTATCAGAGTTTCAAATAAGGGGAGGTGTTTGAAATTAAAAACGTTCCATATAAATGGTTGGCATAATTAGTGAGCATATTGTACGACAAAGTTGTATAAACTTTGAGGCAAAGAGATGATTGTTGTTTTGAGATAATGTACGAAGGATACTATAAAATAAACGTTATTTGAGAGGGCGCAAACGAAATGATTGTCGAGCATATTATATACCTTCAGGCCTCAAGAAGAGGCAATCTCTCTCAATTGATTGCTTGATTTCTTTTTATAAAACTTATTAATTCAACAAGAGAAAATATGTAAGCGCCCGATATCAGGAATATTTCCCCCAAGCTAAGAATATAATTAAAGAGGTCTTTCCACGACCATACTATGTAGTATGTATCAAACATATTGACTGCATACTATGCCTAGGAAGCTTTTCCCTTATGTTCAAGACACAATAAAAACAACAAACAACAATAATAATATGCTCTTAAACTTGTGGGAACAAAATAATATAAAAACTAACATAATTCCTTCTTTTTTCCCAATCAAACCCCACAAACAAAAGGAAGGGGGAGAATTAAAGTGGGCACATAAGACCCTGGCCTTCATGCATAATATTTCAACATCCCAAGTCCCATCTTAGAGGGAGAATAAATATAATTACAGGGTTCTATTTCCAATAAATTAATGGATTTAGAAAGTAAACCAAAGGGGGGACATTTTGAATCTTTTGTAAGGACTTGGAGACTAGAGAAGCTTTTATTAGATACTGCAAATCAAGCTAGATGGTGACTACTTAATTGGAAATTGAAAGAGGAAAGAAATAGGTGAAAGGTGAATTGACTTTGGAGTCATCAAAATTTTTAATAAACTTCTTAATGTAAAAAGGGTTGCTTAGCTGCAATGTAGTTAAAATCCTATTTTAAAACTTAAAATTTTATTTTTTTACGTTTTTAGATCACTAAAATGCTTTTACCCAGAATAACAATTTGTATAACTAATGTAGTTAAAAGCTCACTTAAGCACTTACGATGTTACGCTTCTAGATCATTATAACGCTTCTACATATAAACACATTTTTGCTTACATTGCTCATCAAACTTTAGCTATAACTACAAGCCCAAATGTCCATCTAAGTATAGCAACCTTGAGAACAAATTGATTTTCTTTTTTTTTTATTGTCTCAATGGCAAAGATAATTATGCAATCAAAATGTAAAAGAACATTTAGCACATATTGATGACAATTAGCCCATTACCTAAAGAAGATTTTGGCTTTGTTCCTTTCCCATTCAACAACATTTTGTTGTCCTCTTTCTTCTCCTCTCCCCACCTTTTTACCCAAAAATTCCACAGTTTTTATTCTCTTTGGAAATAAATGCTGAAACGATTGCTGAGATGGTGAAATATATATAGGCTCTCCCCCCACCCACATTAAATTAAAAGTATAATAGCTCAATACAACAATTACTGTTCATCCAGACTGCTTTTTCTATTCATTGTGACTCAAAATTACTATTCACCGAGTTCTTATTGGTTGTTGCTTTGATGTGGGTCCAGATTTCCTTTCCTCTCCCTTTGAACTATCGTTGAGAGTTGAGACTGTGGGTTGGGTCTGACACGAAACCCTCTGCGACGAAAATCGCGTTGGTCACAAATCGACGACATAGACCCGGTAAGCCCAACAAGAACTCTTGGGATGCTGATGGGATGTATCTGCCAGCTTTCTTTCGGTTTCGTTTGGTTACTTTGGATTGGGGCTCGGTTATCTATGCGTTGGAACCTAACTATATTTCCCCTCTTTTTGGCTTTTGATGGAGGTTTGTTCATTCCCTTTCACTCTGTTCACGAAGGAAGGGAGGAAAATGGAGAGAAAGGAAAATGAAAGGGGAAGGAAAAGGAGGGGAGAGAAAGGAAAATGAAAGGGGAAGGAAAACAAGTATTTAATGGACTTAAATATTAAAAAAGAAAGACAAAAGAAAGAACCATGTATGTGTCCCTCTCCTTTCTCTCCAAATTGAAGGGGAGGGTTCAACAGTACAAAAGGTGGAAAGTTTTCCCTCCTTCCATACTTTCCTTCCTTAAAAAACAATGGAAAACTTATTGAGAATCCCACTTTCCTTCTTCACTTTCCCTTCCCCTCCATTTCCTTCCTTAGTGAACAGAGTGTTTGCGTTGGTCCTTTTGTGCGGCCGATGCTTTTTGACTGCTTTACATAGGTGGCAGAGAGTTACTGTTGGATGTTGTCAGGCATGCCATGTTGTCACCGTCAAATGCTCTCGGTGGGAGAAGGGTGACTCCGCCTTTTGATTGACGCGGCGTCCTTGCAAAGAGAGGATAGAGTGTGCCAGTGGGTGGAGGTATTAGGGAAGTAAAAAAAATCACAACAACTCTTTTTCTCCACCACATATTCTATCTACCCCTCATTCCTCTCACCTTTTCTTTTTCCCATCCCGTTTCTTTTCACTCTTTATGGTAGCACTCACCCATCTCTATTTCAGATTCTTCCCTGCGATCAACGGGATCAAAGAGGAAATCGTCAAGTTCGTTCAGAACTCAAAACTCTCCAGTAAGCGAGAGTTGAAGGCCATGGTATCTTCGTCGTTAACTACATCTATGGTGAGAAACTGAAAAGCGGATTCAAGGGGATGGTTGTATGCTGATCAAAAGGGGATTCCTGGAGGTTGCATTCCAGCGCTGTTGCTACGATCATCGTACGGTAGATGAGGTAAGCACGGTGGGAATTTTGTTTTTGGGTTGATTTTTGCCCCTCTTTAGATGGATTTATTTTTCTGTTCTCAAGTGGGTTCGCTCTCTCTTTCTCCCCAAAGTGTGCGTTTGATCCTTTTTAGCTTTGCAGGTTTATTCGTAGCCTTTGGCCTCTCCGAGAAAGGAATGACCCAAAGGCTTGAATCGATTGGAAAAACACGCAAGCTATGGAGTTATGAAATATCCCTGATGCTTTTTGTGTAATATTAGGTCATCTTCTTTCTCTATGTCTCTGTTTCTTTGTGTTTTAGGTTTGGTATACTCATCTGAGTTGTTGATAAGCCCTGATTTATTACTCCACCGCTTTGTGGTTCTTTTTCATGTTTCATCTCTTTCTTGGAGCCCGCCAGAGTTTGGAGCAATCACTTGGCAGGCTACATAGTTCAAGAGAAAGCTCCGCAATTCTTGGATTCGGATACTTTGTTCATTTAGATTGCAGGTGATTTTTTCTTCTGTGTCTCCACTGTGTTATATCTGTCTGGATTCGTTTTCCCTCTTTCTTCCTCTAAATGAATTTGTATACACAGATGCGAGTCACGAGGTCACCGTCGAAGGTCGTCAGTCAAGCTCTTAAAAACACCTTCGAGACCTATATATTGACTGGAGTGATACCCAGAATTTGCAACAGTTGCTTCTTTACTCCGGTGGATACAGCTCTGGGTGTTGTCAAATAAGTTGCTATGGTGAGTTTTTGTGTTTACAATTTGTTCCCTCTCTAATGATGTCCTTTTTTCTCTTCTTTTAATCTCTCGGTTTGATGTTTTATTTGCATTCTTCTTTTTCACCTTCCAGACGGTGGTACTGGTAACCACAATGATTGAATAGTTGAGGTCGATCGTAGATTTGAAGGTAGGGAAGATGATTGTTTTCTAATTGTTACTTAGTCTTTGGGTAACTCCATGGTATAATGATTCGTCTCTACTTTTTTAGTTATTATTAATTGTGGTGTTGGTCTCTTCTTAATCACTTGATTCATGCTTTGGTGTATAAAATAAGAGAAACAATTAAATTTCTAAGGGGTTGGTGAACTACGTAAAAATTTTCGCATCCCCTTGAGTCCTGGAAATCACTTGACCTTTATAGTCCTTCTGCATAATGACATATCTCTGGCATCGCCTAAAAGTTTTGTGTAATATATTTCTTTCCATTTGATTAGGCTTGGTTGCTTACAGTTCCATACATATCTTTTAAATATATCATGTTCTTATGTATAGTGGTTAAACCGTTAGGGAGTACCTGATATGCCTGATAGTTACTCAATGCTCAGCATTGTTCATGAATTGAGATAGACTTCCCCATTAATTTCAGTGGTAGTTATTAAGCCAGTGGTGTGGATTGATTTGGCAAGTGAATGGTGATGATCTGTTGTCATTGTCTATGGTAAATCTTCAAGCTATATGTTGCATTTCTACGTTTTCCTTTTTGGAAAGTAATAATTAATGTTCTTCACTTTTGTCAAGTACTCTTTTTGTTTAGTTTTGACTCTGAACCTTAATCATATATATATATAACTCTGTTTCTAACGTTTGTTTCCTTCTCTCCCGTTATCTGCAACTAATGTATGAAGATGGATTTTGTTTATGAGGGAGCTTTTGTTTTGTAATAATCTATTAAATCCCCTAACTAGACTGTGCCTTCATTGGTTTGAGTTTTTTTTTGTTAGGGAGACTTACTCTGTTGAGAAACTGTGCTGATTATCTCCCACTATGATTAAAATTGCTTGCTGAGCTGGCTGTAACTATTTTGGAGGCTTCAGTTCGCTTGCTAAGCTGCATTGTTACCCTGAGAACCGAGCACAAGTAAAGGTTCAATAGATCGGAACTTTTTTTTTATTGATTTAGTGGTGTTGATTTAAACATGTCAATTAATTAGCAAACTGAAAGCATATAAACCTTTTGTACTGAATATGCTGCTAGGTTATTTCTTGGTGATTCCTCAACTTTCAATGTGTCCGTGTGCTGCTGTTTACTTGGAGAATAAAATGAAAAAAATTTGTTTTTGTTTTGGAGACTGATCAGTATTGAAGTGCTGTCAATTATTTAGTTCATTGTTATTCTTTGGATGAACTCAAACAAAAAGAACTCAAACTTTACTCATATCCTGACGCGGAGCGCGGGTAAGAAAACTAGTACTTTAATAAAACCCAATCCAATCACAAAGAAATTTGGTGCTAACTCAAGGTAAACAATGGAGAGTAGATTCCCCCACCTTTTTTTCTACTTTGCACCAATGCATAATTAGTGGAATGGAACTTGTTAATCTCTTTCTAAAGGAATGATAATGTCTTTGTTTACCATTCACAATTACATATGCATCAATGTTGGAAACAAGGAAATGATTAACTTACTTTTTCTTCCATACAATTCAATTATTGTCAATTCTTACCAATAATTTGGGTGTTTACGAGAGATTAAGAGAATGACTTACATGTTTGTTCGAGTGGAAGTTAATTTATAGGTCAAAATTTATTCTTATATACTGTCATTTGTGCTTAAAGCTAGCATTATATATAAGTGATTATCAAGATTCGGACAATCTTTAGCGAGAAGGGAACATGTAAGTCATTCCCAAGGCGGCATCCTCCGAAGGGCATCACCATTGCTCGCTCTCCCAAGATCAGAATGGGGACAACCATGCAACGACGTACAAAAGGGAAAGACAAGCATGTTCCCATTCGTGCTGTTTTCAATGACAAAGACCTTCGGAAAAAGGGGCTGTCGAATCCAATGTCGGGGCAAGAGGCTGCTGCTTACAATGGGAATATAGGGACAAATTCCCAGGAATTGGAGGTGAAAAGCCATACCATTCCAGCACCTAATCTCGAGCACCCAATGGACAACCCAACCCGGAGGAGGCGCCTATTGCTGGAGGCGGAGTCTGAGGATGACATGGCACCTCTGTTTACGTCCCTGAAGTGTACGGGGAAAGAGGGGGAAATTAATTGCCCGCCCGGCGAGCAGGAGCCAGCTGAGCCCATGGCGCATGCGTTGAAGGAGGAGCCACCTGTCCAAAGGTCCCTGCGGCGACTTATAAAGGCTTCCAAGTGCAGGGCAAATTCGGAGACTGCGACCAAATGGAAGAAGCTGGGCAAAAAGGCGCTGCGGACTCCTCGGAAACCACCAAATAAGGCGATCATTGATAATGGGCAGTGGGTGGAAGTACCTGTGGAGGAAGCCTCGGTTCTCCCATGCGCCCCAGCTACTGCTAAATCTATGTAGGCGGACAACTTGGGGGATGGGTCGATTGAATCGAGCCCGGAGGGAGAGGGGAACCAATTTGAAATCAAAAGCAGAAAGCATATGCCGACTGTGGGTCATGTCCAACAAGTCGTCCAGGCCTTTGAGGCGGGGCTTAATTTTGAAAGTTACCTCACTCCCAAGCCGCTGAGTGAGGTGCCAAACAATAGGGATGGCGAGATTGTGGGAACACACGTCGCGCCCTTGGCTGAGGATTTGGGCAGCTTGAACGAATATGGATCTAATTATGAGGCTTTACAAATCAGTGAGAAGAAAAGAGCTTTTCATAAGGTGGATGGGGAAGACTACGAGCTCCCTACACCGAAACGTCAATTTGTGGAGGAAAGAGATGTTGCTGCTGAGGTGGAGGAAACCAGCCTAGAGTGGTCCCAGCAGGATAAATGAGGCTTCTGGCCTGGAATGTGAGAGGCATGGGGCCAACTCTCACATTCCGTTCTGCTTTAGGTTTAGTTCAGTCGAATAAACCGGATCTTGTGTTCTTTTCGGAAACAAGAGCTCGCCGGAAATTAGTCTCTCGTCGCCTTCGTGGTTTAGGTTTTGAGTATTCGCATACTTTCTTTGTATATGCTATTTATGCATCAGGTGGTCTTGTTGTTGCTTGGTCCCCCGAAGTTTCTGCTTCGGTGTTTTTTCAGTCGGATTTTTGTATATTGAAATTAATGAAAGTTCTTTTTCGTATGTTGTTTTTGGGGTTTATATTAGTTGTAACCCCACCCGCCGTGATACCCAGTTGGCTCATCTTCGTGATGTCTGCGGAATATCAAAACTCTCCAAGTAGAGATTGAGCACATTAAATCCAATCACCCCATTAATTGGGAGGAGGTCAAAACCCTTGAGATGGAACTGAATCGTCAATGGGAGGCCGAAGAGGTTTACTGGCAACAGAAATCAAGAGTTCATTAGCTTAAGAAGGGTGACAAAAACACCTCTTATTTCCATACAGTCACAAGAACGCGGAGGAAAAGAAATTTTGTTGCTGGCCTTTATAATGATAATGGGGATTGGGTTACGGACGAAAAGGGGAAGGCGGATGTCGCCTGCCACTTCTATCAGCATCTTTTCACGTCGGAAAATCAAGTGCTGAACATGGCTGAGAGAGTGGCGGGTCTGCCTATTGATCAAAGGGTCACCCAAGAAATGAATGAGATGTTAACAGCGGAGGTCCTGCCGCAGGAGATTCGGAGGACGGTATTTGCCATGGGTTTCAAACAGGCTCCTGGCTCTGATGGCTTTACGGGGAAATTTTTCAAAGCCTTCTGGGATATTGTTGGCAGTTCAGTGATTGAAGCTGTCCGATCGTTCTTTGCCACTAGTAGGATGTTACGCAGCTTCAACCATACGTGGCTAACATTGATCCCGAAGGTGGATAATGTGGAAAGCATGCGGCAATTGCGGCCTATTAGTCTGTGCCAGTTTGTTTACAAAATTATTACCAAAATCATGACTGCACGGCTAGCTGTTATCCTTCCGGGCATTGTCTCTGAAGGAAAAAATGCTTTCATTCGAGAAAGGCAGATTATTGAGAACATCCTGATTGGTCACGAATTGATGCACTATTTGAAACTTAAGACGCGCTGTAAGAAAGGATACATGGCTTTAAAGGTTGATATTGAAAAGGCCTATGATAGAGTTGAGTGGCCTTTCTTGCTCGCTGTTCTCGAGAAAATGGGTTTCAATTCAGTCTGGATAGGGTGGATACAGGAATGTCTTCGTTCGACTTCCTTCTCGGTCTTAATGAATGGGACCCCCTCAGGATATTTTACGCCCTCCCGTGGCCTTCGACAAGGGGATCCGCTTTCTCCCTTACTTTTTGTAATTTGCACTGAAGGGTTTGCTGCGCTCCTTCGCCAGGCAATTGCTGATAAGAGGCTGGGTGGTGTGAAGGTGGCTCCTCGAGCTCCTCGTATCTCTCACTTATTCTTCGCTGATGATTCTTACTTATTCCTGAGAGGTAATATTCAGGAATGTGAAAATCTGATCGAAGTTCTAAATGAGTATGAGGAGTTAAGTGGTCAAAGGGTGAATTTGGATAAGTCAGTTGTCTGCTTCAGTAAGAATATAGTCCCAGCTGATCAGGACTTCTTGGCTGCAATCCTGGAAGTGGGTGCGGTAGGGGTCCAGGATAAATATTTGGGACTGCCGACCCTAATAGCCCGGTCGAAGATGGCTACCTTCCGTTACCTGGAGGAAAAACTGCTGGAGAAATTGCAAGGGTGGAAGCAGCGCACATTGTCTTGGGCAGCGAAAGAAACCTTGATTAAGTCCATAGCTTTACCCTTACCGCTACATGTTATGTCTTGCTTCAAGATGCCACTCTCTCTTTGTAGACTGTTGGACAGACATGTTGCTCGTTTCTGGTGGGGTATGACGGAAGGCGAGTCTAAGATTCACTGGATCTCCTGGCGGAATATGTGCAAAAGTAAGCATGATGGGGGCTGGGTTTCCGTCAGTATGAGCATTTTAACCAGGCCCTGCTGGCGAAAATTGGCTGGCGAATTCTCCAGGACCCCCATTCCTTACTGGCCCAAGTTTATAAAGGCAAATATTTCCCAACGGGTACCTTTCTCCAAGCTCAGGCTCGCTCGAGGCCTTCTTGGGGATGGCAGAGTGTTCTCTATGGGCGGCAGTTGCTGGAGCAAGGTTTACGCTGGCAAATTGGTAATGGGGAGTCGGCTTCGTTATTGTTTTCAAACTGGATTCCCCATTTGCACCCAGGGAAGCCAGTTTACAATCCGCGGGTGCTTCCTAGCGGGGGTGATCCGTTGGTGGCGGAGGTTATGGCTCAGGATGGGGTAGGGGGATGGTGTGCAACTAAGCTACGACAATGGTTTGATCCTGCTACTTGTCGTATGATCCAATCTATTCCTCTTCCACGGCAAAATATGGTGGATAGATTGATCTGGCATGCTACGTCTGATGGCGTGTTCACGGTCAAATCTGCGTATCATTTCGCCGTTGACTTGGCACGAAGGGATGGCTGTTGGAGGGCTACGGCTAGTTGGATGGATAGAGCCAGTTGGATGAAGCTCTGTAATGCTGATATTCCCCCTAAGTTGAAAGTGTTTGTTTGGCAGATTTTTCAACGTATCCTACCTACCACTACCACTGAGGCTCTCATTGAGAAAAATGTTCCTGTTCTTCCGCGATGCCCGGTTTGCTGGGGGGCATCGGAAACCATGGAACATCAGTTCTTGGAATGCCCGGTGGCTAGGGCTCTTTGGGATTATTCTGGGCTCGAACATCTGAGACAAGGCTTGCCTCGACATACGTTTCCTTTGTTTCTTAAACGGTTGTTTGCCCTTATTCATCAACCGCGTATGATCATGGTTGTGGTAGCTGTTCTGTGGAGGATTTGGAAATCCCGTAATTGGGTAGCTTTTGAGGGCAAGCAGTTTGGGTTCCCTGCCCTAATGCGGCAATTCCATCAACAGTGTGAGGAATGGGATCGGGTGCCGGCTGAGAGGATTGAGTTAGGGATCCATCCTCTCATTCATCCTACAGACGTACCGGGGGAGATCTCGGTGGTGTGCTTGTGGGATGGGGCTACACAAT